TTGGATGAGGGATCCCTCCCTCCATGAGGCAGTCTGCTGCAGTTATCCTTCTGTCAAAGGGTAAGGATCCTTCGGCTATTGAGAACTGGTGCCCCATTAGCCTGCTCAATGTCGATAGAAAGATTCTGGCCAAGATCTTGTTCTGGCGGTTGTCGTCAGTGCAGGCGTTTTGCTTTCTCGTCAGCAGCATTGCTCGGTCCCAGGGCCAGGAGCACCTTCACAGCGGTGTTAGCTGTCCAGGAGGCTCTGGAATGGTGTAAGGCTGAAGGATGGGGAAAGTTTTTTGCTGGCAGTGGACCAGGCAAAGGCCTTTGATTGGGTCAATCACGAATATCTCTGGCGTCTCCTGGACCGGTACGGTTTGGAGGGGAGGTTCATTGGCTGGTTGAAGACGTTATACAGGGAGGCTGAGAGCTTCATGTTGGTGAATGGTTGGGTTGGGCGGCCCTTTGGGATTGGATCGAGGGTGCGCCAGTGGTGCCGCTAAGTCCTCTGCTCTACGACTTCGCTATCGACCCTTAGTCAGGAGGCTAGATGGTGGAGCGTTGGATGGGGTGCCGGTGGGTGCTGCTGGTGATCCACCCCTGAGGGTCGTTGCCTACGCTGATGACGTTTCTGTCTTCATCTCCGGGACTGAGGAGGCGCAGGAGGTGGTCTCAGTGATGGATCCGTATGCTGAGGCGTCTGGCTCCAAGGTCAATCGAGACAAATGCGAAGTTCTTTGGGTGGGGTAGGGAGGGCGAGAGCTTCTCACTTCCAGACACCTTCCCAGTGCCTCAACAGAGTGTGAAAATCTTAGGCATCAATTTTGGCCCTGCTGATTATGGCAAGTTAAATTGGGAAGCCAAACTGTCTGATGCTGAGGTCAAAGTGAGATGCTGGAAGGGGTGGCAGCTCTCCTTGAGGGAAAGGGTTGATCTGATCAAGACTTTCCTGCTTCCTGTATATTTGTATGTCAGCTTCGTCTGCCTCTTGCCAGAGTCGCTCTATACGAGGGTCTACAGCTGCTTCTTCCAGATGTTATGGGGGAACAGGCTGAACCTTGTTAGGAGGGACATAACTTACTCATCTAGGCGGGGAGGGTGGCCTAGGTATGGTCAACCCGATAGTATTCTTCTCTGATGTTCCGGAAACATAATCTTGGTAGTATGTTAGCAGGGAGAACCGCCTGCATGGGTAGGACTGTTCCAGATCTGGTTTAGGCCCTTTCTGAGCAGTTGGGAGAGTGGCGGGCCAGTGAGAAGCCTGCGGGTCAAGCACGGTAAGCTCCCGACTTATGTGGCCCTGTGCCTGAAGTTACTCCGGCGGTGGCATGTGACAGCGGAGGAAGCCAGATCCCTCCCTAGGAGACTCCTAGGTGAGAGGATTGTGGCGACCGCTTTCCATGCGCCGTTGGCCTTGAAGGATTGCCCAGGCCATATCATGAGGGAGGGTTTACATTTGTTAAATCTGGAACGGATTCCCTTGAAGTTTAGGGACCTGGCCTGGCTCGCCTTTCATGGCAGACTTTACGTGAGGGGCAACTTGAAGTGCCGTCCTCTGGATGACCATGGTTGTCCGAGGTCGGAGTGTCAGGGTGAAGTGGAAACTATGGACCACTTCCTGCTTCAGTGCCCCTTTAACGTAGAAGTGTACAGAGAGGTGGGTGGGGCTCTGGGTGTCTCTTTCCTCCATTGCATGTCTTATGCAGAGTGGGTGTATGGAGCATTTGAAAGCCGCCAGGATTTTGATTTGGGCACCCTGTTCTTAGTTAGTGTAGTGGTCCGGTATTACACATGGAACGCATGGTGTGTCGGTCTCTATTCGGAGAAAAGTCCTCCCCGTTCAGGTGGTGGTGCGTGACATCCTTGGTGAGGTTGGGAAAGTTTGGGGCCTTGAGAAAGGCAGGTGGCGGCAGAAGCCCTGGATGGAGGCATGGAGGAACATCAGGCCTGTAGCTGCTGTCTGCTGATCTCGGGTGGTGGCATCTGTCCCTATTTTCCTCCTTTTTCACCCCCCTAGATTTTGTCAAGAAATATTCCATTTTATGAAAGGTCGCAACGCTGAAGGTCTATGTTTCTTGGCCTTCCTTCTGGTAAGTTTGTAATGTTGTTTAAGTGTTAAGTTCTCTTTCTATGGTGAGTTTAGGCCATAAAGGCCGAGTATTGCGGGAGATTGGAAATTGCATGTGTCCTTTCTTTGGCCAAATAGGCCTACTGCATGGGAATATCCTATGCAATATAAGTTCTTGGATATGGGCATGTTTTTGGCCATAAAGGCCTATGTATATATGGATTTTTTTCTCCTTTTAGGGATGAACTTTCTCTGGTCATTAAGGCTTTTTGGACTTAAGTAATAGGCCAATATAGGCCTGGGACTACTATATAGTGAGCCTAAAGGGTGGTTTTTGTTAAAGTTTTTCCTTTCCAGGAGTTTCTGGACTTTTGTTTCTGCATGCGTTTCATGTTTGTATTTATTTATGTTTTTTTTACTTTTATAAGAAAAGTATGATGATTATGTATGAATCAAATACATAATAAAATATCTCCATTCCTGACACACAGCCATTAATGTCTAAATCACTGGCAACAAAAGTGAGTCCACCCCTAAGGGACAAGGTCTAAATTGGTCCCAATTAGCCATTCTCCCTCCCTGGTGTCATGTGACTTGTTAGTGTTACAAGGTCTCAAGTGTGAATGGGGAGCAGGTGTTACATTTGGTGTTATCACTCTCACTCTCTCATACTCATCACTGGAAGTTCAACATGGCACTTCATGGCAAAGAACTCTCTGAGGATCTGAGGATTTCTCCAGTGTTGTTACATGAAAAGATAAAATAAAATATTTACAAAAATGTGAGGAGCGGACTCACTTCTGTGAGATACTGTGGTTGGAATGCTCATTGGGTGCTAATATTTGTTCCACCTGGAGGCTAGGAGGTAAATATTTTGCTAAATACATGTGATATCAGTCATTTGAGAATGATCTCAAACTTTACTTAAAAATTCCGTGTACTAAATTTATTATTCTTCTATTATATAAGCGACCCCGTTCTTCGTAGGGTGGACCTCCACTGACGATTTCCATCTGTCTACATTCTCAGCACCAACTGACCTCCCCGGTAAGTATACGCTGGAATATCTTTATTATATTATTCATCCTATTATAATTATTTATAATGAAAGAATCCTCGGTCTTCAGCTTTAAGGTGAAGTATAAATGACTCCTCTGTTTTATTTTGATTCTAAATGTGGCTGATTCACAAAATTCTAAATATTCTCCCTCCCTGATAGGAGATATCATGAGGAGTCACTCTGCAAATGCTCAGTTTGGTGTGTATTGCTAGGTCAGCACAGAGCCAATCTGTCCAGAAAGAGGTCAGGGGTTCTGCATCCTCCTAGAGCAGAATGAAAACTCCGCCTACAAGTTTTAACCAGTGCTCAGACGGACACTGATAGAAGTCACAAGATTGTTATATACTGCTGATGAGAAAAGGGATTTAGCAGTTTATATTTACTAAAATAATTGCATTTCCATGTTCTGTGTACTGTGGGAGAGCGGATATAGTGAATGCAGGGTCCAGGGAGACCAGATATAGTGAATGCAGGGTCCGGGGAGAGCGGATATAGTGAATGCAGAGTCCGGGGAGAGCGGATAAAGTGAATGCAGAGTCCGGGGAGAGCGGATAAAGTGAATGCAGAGTCCGGGGAGAGCGGATATAGTGGATGCAGGGTCCGGGGAGAGCGGATATAGTGAATGCCAGGTCTGGGGAGAGCGGATATAGTGAATGCCAGGTCCGGGGAGAGCGGATATAGTGAATGCAGGGTCTGTGGAGACCGGATATAGTGAATTCAGGGTTCCGGGAGACCGAATATAGTGAATGCAGGGTCCGGGAAGAGTGGATATAGCAAAGGCAGGGTCCGGGGACAGCGGATATAGTGAATGTGGGGTCCGAGGAGAGCAGATATAGTGAATGCAGGGTCCGGGGAGAGCGGATATAGTGAATGCATGGTCCGGGGAGACCAGATATAGTGAATGCGGGGTCCGGGGAGACCGGATATAGTGAATTCAGGGTTCCTGAGAGACCGAATATAGTGAATGCAGGGTCCGGGGAGAGTGGATATAGCAAATGCAGGGTCCGAGGAGACCAGATATAGTGAATGCAGGGTCTGGGGAGAACGAATATAGTGAAAGCAGGCTCTGAGGAGAGCGGATATAGTGAATGCAGGGTCCAGGGAGAGAGGATATAGTGAATTCAGGGTCCGGGGAGAGAGGATATAGGGAATGCAGGGTCCGGGGAGAGAGGATATAGTGAATGCAGGGTCCGGGGAGAGCGAATATAGTGAACGCGGGGTCCGGGAAGACTGGATATAGTGAATGCAGGGTCCGGGGAGAGCAGATATAGTGAATGCAGGGTCTGGGAAGACTGGATATAGTGAATGCAGGGTCCAGGGGGAGCTGATAGAGTGAATGCAGAGTCCGGGGGAGAGCGGATAAAGTGAATGCAGAGTCCGGGGAGAGAGCGGATATAGTGGATGCAGGGTCCGGGGAGAGCGGATATAGTGGATGCAGGGTCCGGGGAGAGCGGATATAGTGAATGCCAGGTCCAGGGAGAGCGGATATAGTGAATGCCGGGTCCGGGGAGAGCGGATATAGTGAATGCAGGGTCTGTGGAGACCGTATATAGTGAATGCAGGGTCCGGGGGACAGCGGATATAGTGAATGTGGGGTCCGTGGAGAGCAGATATAGTGAATGCAGGGTCCGGGAAGACCGGATATAGTGAATGCAGGGTCCGGGAGAGAGCGGATAGAGTGAATGCACGGTCCGGGGAGACCGGATATAGTGAATGCGGGGTCCGGGGAGACCGGATATAGTGAATTCAGGGTTCTGGAGAGACCCGAATATAGTGAATGCAGGGTCCGGGGAGAATGGATATAGCAAATGCAGGGTCCGAGGAGAGCAGATATAGTGAATGCAGGGTCTGGGGAGAACGAATATAGTGAAAGCAGGGTCCGAGGAGAGCGGATATTGTGAATGAAGGTTCCAGGGAGAGAGGATATAGTGAATTCAGGGTCCGGGGAGAGAGGATATAGTGAATGCAGGGTCCGGGGAGAATGAATATAGTGAACGCGGGGTCCGGGAAGACTGCATTTAGTGAATGCAGGGTCCGGGGAGAGCAGATATAGTGAATGCAGGGTCTGAGAAGACTGGATATAGTGAATGCAGGGTCCAGGGGGAGCTGATAGAGTGAATGCATGGTCCGGGGAGACCGGATATAGTGAATGCAGGGTCTGGGGAGAGTGGATATAGCAAATGCAGGGTCTGGGGAGACCAGATATAGTGAATGCAGGGTCTGGGGAGAACGAATATAGTGAATGCAGGGTCCGGGGAGAGAGAGGATATAGTGAATACAGGGTCCGGGGAGCCAGATATAGTGAATGCAGGGTCCGGGGAGACCAGATATAGTGAATGCCGGGTCTGGGGAGAACGGATATAGTGAATGCAGGGTGGGTATTGTGATTGACGTTGAATCTACTTCGGGGGACATTTTTCTAATTTTTATTTTTAATAAAGGACTTGTCAAAGACGGACTCCTGTCTTTTATGACACCACACTTAATTTTTTTTGTGAATGGGTAGCGGTACCATGTACCTCATACTCATTCACATGGGGCAGCCGGGATCTGGGTGGGCCCCCTTGTTAAAGGGGGCTTCCTGATTCCTGTAAGCTCCCCGCCCACAAACCCCTACAACTACCGGCCACCATTGTGGGGAAAAGGCTTTTGTCCCCATCAACATGGGGACAAGGTGCTTTGAGGGTAAGCCCCCCTGCCCCAAAGCACCCCCTCATGTTGAGGGCATGTGGCCTGGTATTCTTTAGGAGCAAAGGGGTCTATCGCTCATCATCCCCTTTTCGGACCTGCCAGGCTGCATGCTTGGATTGGTCTGGTATGGATTTTGCGGGGACTCCCACGCCATTTTTTTTTTACCTTTTGGCATGGGGGTTCCCCTCAAAATCCATACCAGAAGGGCTTGGTATGGATGGGTGGGAAGAGCCCCATGCTGTTTTTTTTTAAATTGAATTGTTGAGCAATGCAGATACATTCACATTTTACATTCAGCTGTTAGCGGGGAAACATAAATGAATGTCTCACTACTAAAATATCGCATGGCTTAATACTATAACTCATGCCGGATTTTAGTAACTGAGCGGGATCTTACCACATACCCAGATGTGGTAAGATACCACTCAGTACATTGTTCGGTTCATGTTCGAAGTTCATGGTCGAACATTCTGTATGTTCTCGGATGATCGACCGCGAACAGAACAGGTGGGGGGGGGGTTGGCCTATCACTAGATGTAAGATAGCACTGCTAAGTTATAATGATCAATTATTTCACATCATCTCAATGGTCTTAATCTCCTTCTCTCCAAACCTGGAACAAATTCTAATCACAGAGACCATTATCTAGGGACTCTACTCATTCATACAAAAAAAAAACCCTCTAGAAACCATTAGTCCAGTTAGTAAAACAGGTTAATATAAATTGATTTTCAATCTAATATCCTTTAGTTCTGCTTGAGTGAGGAGTAGAGCGGGAAGCCCGGGTGAGGCAAGAGGCATCAACGTTTAAGATAGAAGGTCCTGGAAACCATAGACAATGGAGATTGGAGCTTCATTTCTTGTGAATCAACTCCAATGACGTCTAACAACCTCCTTTTATCTGATTGAGGAATAAGATAGATAAAGCCCCCTTAATCATTTTTTTAATCTATGGGGAACCAGATCCAGAAAGGTCTCAAAAGGATCAAGCAAATCCATGTAATTTAAAAACACTCACCTGCCAATAATGGGTTCCAGGTCTTCGTGATCTTTTGTGATGGTTTAGAGTCAACAAACATCGAACCTTTTATTGTATTGGAACAACCATTTTATGTGTGCCTAACATTAGGGGGCCTCCTGTTATTTTTGAGTCATAATTTCCATTTTAAAGGTGTAAAAAAAAAAATGGAAAAGCGAGCGCTACACAAATGTGTCTATATGAGCTGCTAGAACACCAAAAAAAAAGGTAACCAACCAACCTTTCAGTAAACAATGGAAAAAAGAGAGGGATCGGTGCAGCGCTAGAATTTATGAAAACATAAAATAAGTACTCGATTTATATGTCCTAAGCGTATAAGCAAAGGCAGAAAAAGAGAAGGAAAAATATAAAATAAAAATGCAATATGCTATTCAGTTAATAATGGCAAAGCACACAATAGTCCAATTCCCATGTAAATTGCTGTAAGGGATGTGTTGCGGTTCAGAGGTAGAGGTCCTTAAAATAAATAGATTGCACACTCACCAGAAGTGCGTATAAAATACGCATGTAGAGAGATATAAATCTTCAAAAACATCTCGGTCAATAGGGTTCTGGTCAGGTCGCACTCTACATCATCATCCGTCTCACCGTAATCATCAATTACCAGGGTTCAGTATGGGCGTCAAGAATTCCCCTTGGTCCAACCAGGCACTGTGGAAGGTGGTGCTCTCAAAGAGAGCCCAATAAGGGACGCCACATAGTGTAATGTTGTATGAACAGGTTTATTCTCAAAATAAGATAGAATAAAGAATGCTACTGACCATAAATAAGTTGGCCACATGTAGTGGCTAGATGTCCATGTGCTGTAGCCCCCCTGACGCGTTTTGTGCGATGCACGTTCTCAAAGGGTGCAGGGCTTACAGCAGGACATCTGCCTACAACTATTTATGCAGAGAAATGGCAATCGCGCTAGTCGCGGCCGCCATTTTGCCGGCATCTTGCGCATGCGCAGTGTATCGGCGCCATTTTGCTGTGGATCACTAAAGTTAATACATATGTTTCCTCTAGTGTCCACTGAATACATATAAAGCGGCGCCATGTTATAGGCAGGAAACGAATCTCTATTGCCATGATCCTGATACACAAACCACAGGATAATGGCTATACCAACTTAGAAGTAATCGTTATTATTGATTATTTAGACTATTTAGATACTCCTCACACTGGTATGTTGACTTCAGTGGAGGAGGTCTATATTATATTAAAAAATTGCAAATTATGGTAATATATTTGCAATGTATATATGCATATATAAATGCATATAGCAAAACGTTCATTATGCAAATAATAAGAGCGGTCATTCTGTATTCAAACTCTCAATTCTAATATAAATATAGGTATTAATTAATAATAGCAGTGATATTAATATATTATATATATTTTTATTTTAAAATAAACTATAAATTATGAATGGTACGTATGCGATATCAATATGCGATGGCCATTTCTACTGCAAAAAATAGAAGTATATAATATGAATTCAAAAACTAATATATTTATTAAAAATAAGTTAAAAATAGGTCAGTAGGATATATCAAAATACAATCAATGTCATATAGTCAGAAGGCACCCAAAAACACATAAATTCAGTATACATCAACACTGATTAAAATTACTCATGTATAAAGGAATCTAATAAGTAGAATACAATCAAATGCAATAAAATAACACAAGATAAACCACCTAAAGGCATATAAAATTAAAATGAATTCGCAATGACAAACTATAGTAGTATTCATTATGGAGACAATATCAATCCACATAAAATCCATACAATTCCTGAAAGCCACTCGTTCAGCGGCGACGAAAAAATATTTTTAACTATGCAAGATCATTTATCTAAAAGATGTGAAATAATTAAATAAATAGATAAAAATCCCAAACTTATAAAAAGAGGGGGGGGGGGGGAATTATAAAATGTAGAATGTAGAATCACTAGTAATATAAACGCACATTAGCTATCATCAATGAAGCAATTCAGATCGAATTCAATATTGTGGCCTTTAGGGTACAAAGATCCAAGTTCATATATCCACTTGGATTCCATTTGTGAAATCGCTCTTTTTTTATTTTGTCCTCTCCAATGTGCGTTTATAATTCCTATGCCCATAAATATTAATGATGATGGGTCTTGATTATGATGTGTTTTGTAATGGAGGGACAATGAGTGGTCTTTGTAACCCTTTTTAATGTTGTTCACGTGTTCTTTTAAACGATCTCTCAAGCGTCTAGTGGTTCGCCCTATATATATTAGGTGACAAGGGCACTGTATTAAATAAACAACATATTTACTAGTGCAGGTGAAAAAATCATCAATTTTAAATGTCTTGCCGTTTGCTGTGGATTTAAAACATATATGTTTACTTGTAAAATTACTATTAACACAGATCATGCACTTTCTGCATGGATAGAAACCTTTCATATTTGGAAACAAAGGGGCGTATATGGGGGGATCAAGAACATTTGGAGCTATTCTATTCCCCAACGGAGTGGCTTTTCTGAAAGCAATCTGTGGTTTTTCTGGCAAAAACCATCTTAAAACTGGGTCTAACATTAAGATCTTCCAATTATTTCGAATTATCCTAGTGACGGACTTATGTTGAATTGAATAATTCGTCACAAAAGGACAAACTCTCTCTGGTCTCTGATTAACATTATTATTCAGCATCAAATCTCTATTTGCATTGCCTACTTCTGTTACAACTTGATTCAAAATGTTTTCATCGTATCCCTTTTCAAGGAATTTAGTTTTAATAATGGTGGCCTGTTATAATATGTATTGACATCAGTGCAGTTGCGTCTAATTCTGGTGAATTGACCCTTTGGGATGTTCTGCAACCATGCAGAGTGATGACAACTTTCCAAGGGGATGTAACTGTTTCTATCAGTTTTCTTAAAAAATGACTCAGTTATAATTCTCCCATCCAGATTTATCAAAGTCAGGTCCAAAAAATCAATATTCTCATGGCTATAGTTAAAAGTGAGACTAATATTGAGAGAGTTAAAATTCAAAGTAGTAAAAAAATTTAAAAGTGATTCTTCATCGCCATTCCATATGAGGAGGATGTCATCTATGTATCTCCTGTAAAAGGAGAGTTCGGGCCAATCCCTAGCGTAGATGACATCCTCCTCCCATCTGGCCAAAACAGATTCGCCCCCAGATTGAAATTTGCACCTAATAAGCCTCTCAATAAATTTCAAACATATGTCGACATCAGAAAATATGTAAGACAACTATCCCTAAAGAAATATTTTTTCAATAAACCTCCAATACCATATAACGAAAGTCGATTTATTAATTCTAACCTGCATAATGCGTCACTTTTTAATCCACCACCACAAAATAACACCTATATTAATGCCTTTAGGGATACGGTGTTACGTGATCTAGAGACTTTAAAGATAAAGAGAATCAATAAACATGATGCAAATCACCTAGCTATTGATTCATTGTTAGAGAAAAAAGATCTTGTAATCCGTCCTGCGGATAAAGGGGGGAGGGGTAGTTGTCCTTAATAAAACTGACTATATTAGAGAAGTCCAGAATATCCTCAGTGATAGAGATACATACTTACCATTACCTAAAAATCCTGTAGTTCAATATAAGAAAGAACTCAAGTCT